CTCCTTCCGGGTAGTCTCGGGGGCGGCCAAGAAGGGGGCCTCCAAGAGGGAGGGGGAGCACAAATCATGGCCGGCGGCATGTGCGCCGCCCGGGGTCGGGGCCGGGGACGTATTGAAACAAGAAGAGGCGCCATGAAGTCTGGGGGGATCTCATGGCCCACGCCATGATATCCACCCCCCCTCCAGTCATCCCCCCCCCTCTTCGCCGCCCCCGACAGTCGGGAGGGGCGGACGAACGAACGCGCGAGGCGTCCACGGGAAGGGACGGGGCGGCCGTGGCCCCTCGCCTCAATCAGCCCCAGAGAGCCCTGTCGGGTAGTCTCAAGTCGGGCCTGTCCTCCTACAGGGGGATTTTGGACGGAAAATGAAAAATTGTCAAGATACCTAAAAATAGTCAACAAATATTCAAAAATTATCCCAGTGCGACCCTACCTAGGAGTTGGAGCATCTAGGAAAGCAACATCTACATCTACACCGACAGCTACATTAGCGTCTACACTTGCATCTACATCTACATCAACATCAACAGCGAGACTCACATCTACATCTACATCCACACCTACATATACACCTACATCTACATCTACACCTACACCTACATCAACATCTACATCTACACCTACATCTACATCTACATCTACACGTTCGCATTGGTTGTGTGTTTGATGTGCATGCTATGCTATGCTATGCTATGATATGCTATGCTATGCGATGTTTGGCTATGCTTGGCTATGCTATGCTATGCTATGCTGTGCTAATGCTGCGCTGCGCTATGCTGCGCTGCGCTGAGCTAAGCTAAGGTAAGCTAAGTTATGTTTCGATGTGATATGCTATGCTATGATATGCTGCGCTATGCTATGCCATGCGATGCTATGCTGCGCTATGCTAGGCTATGCTAGGCTATGCTATGATATGCTATGCTGCGCTATGATATGCTATGCTATGCTATGTTATGCTAGGCTATGCTGTGCTGTGCTATGCTATGCTATGCTGTGCTGTGCTATGCTATGCTATGCTGCGATGTGCTTTGCTAAGCAATGCGATGCTATGCTATGCTATGGTATGTTGCGCTCTGATATGATATGATACGCTTTGCTATGCTGTGTTATGATATGCTATGCTATGCTATGCCTGGCTATGTTATGCTATGCTATGCTATGCTGTGCTAATGCTGCGTTGCGCTATGCTGCGCTGCGCTAAGCTAAGCTGAGGTAAGCTAAGGTATGCTAAGCTAAGCTGAGCTAAGCTAAGCTAGGCTAGGCTAAGCTAAGCTAAGCTAAGTTAAGCTATGCCTAGCTGAGCTAAGCTAAGCTAAGCTTAGCTAAGCTTAGCTAGGCTAGGCAAAGCGGGGGATCCTGGGGGAACCGCGGGGCGGATCCTGGGGGAACCGCCCGGGGCGATTCACACTGCCCGGCCCTCTAAGCACACACGGTAAGAACCCTTCTAGGCAGAGCCTTGGTAGGGAGAAATCGTCCCTTGATCTTTTCCTAACTATTTTTGAATATTCCTCCTGTAGAGGGACAGGCCCGACTTAAGGGTAATCCAAAGAGAAGGCGGTGTGGCTTGACCCCCGCGAGCGGGTGGACCGGGGGCAAGCAGGACAGCCAGCAGCTATTTAGCAGAAGAGAGGGATGGACGAAAGGAGGCAGGGAGGGAGGGAGAGGAGGGAGGGAGAGGAGGAAAGGAGGGAGGAGGGGAGGGAGGGAGGAGGAGAGGAGGAGAGGGAGGGAAGAGGGGAGGGAGGGAGGAGGGGAGGGAGGAGAGGGAGGAGGGGAGGGAGGGAGGGAGGAGGAAGAGGAGGGGAACATTGGGAACATTGGGGTAAAATGACAACGTAGGTCAAGGACAGTGCCCAGAATGCAAGCGCAGAAACTTACAAGGTCAGGAGCCCAAAGCCTCCCTCACCGCTTTGGGGGGGCCTCCTGGGTGTGGGTATTCACCTCGATCGATGCGGGCAAGGTTCTGTCTGCCCTTTGCCGAGGGCTCGCATAGAGGGACAAGCTGCCGTGCATCAGTCGTGCACGTCTTCCCGCATTGGGAGCAGCAAATCAGCATAAATTTTCGCCAAAACTGGAGCCGATGGGTCTCATGGAAGGTTTTCCCCCCCACACCCCGCGGGCCCGAATAAGGCGAGAACTCATTAGTTCCTCCGCCCCTGCAGGGAGATTCACAAACCTGGAAAATCGAGTCCTGGTTGGCGAGCAAATCGCATCTCCTGCACCAAAATTTCGGGCCCGCGCGGGCCCACCGATGAGGCGAATCCCGCAGCGAACGAGCGAGCCTCGGGAGCGCAGCCTCACCTCTGCTGGGGGGCTGCCATTCCGCGGTCCATGGATCAGCTTGGATACTGCACGCAAGAGCTCTCCGCGCCCGACGACGAATCAACGAGGCCATGGCGTCCCGCTCATCAGCGCAAGGAACAGGAGCAACTACATACTGAGACCACGCAATCTCGGCCATGAAGCCAGCAAGCGAATCAGCCGATTCATTACCAAACATATGAAACAACTGCAGCACAGACGGGACAGGCACCTGATCAAGCTCTACGTGAGAGGGCGCCCAAACGATATCGATCACACCAGGTCCGCGGGAGGCGACAGCCTTCAGGATATCGGACCAGATATCAGCGTTCGAACCCAACGTCCAACACGACTCACCAACACGCTGAATTCTGCTCCAAGTATCCACCAACGGCCGGTGATCGGTGACAAAACGCAGATTGCTAGAAGACACGCTAAGAGCCATGAGAAACGCCGGGAGCTCCGCGCGAGGCACAGACTGTCTTCTGCCCCCGAGAGTGGACCCACGTCCCGCGGAGGGCTCCCACGAAGACCCGACAGGAGTGAGGCCTATGATCCCCGCCCCGACCCTGCGACGCCGAGGGTCGCTCGAGAAGCGCCCCCCCGACCCATCACCGAAGATCGCCACGGAACCTTCGGCGTCGCGGGGAATCAGGTCGAAAGATCCAAAATCTACAACCGTGGGAGGGAGAGGAGCGAAGGTGGGCACGGTCTCACTCACTCCTGGCACACCTCGAAGCCAGAATCCAGGATACGCTTCATGCTGTGCCTGCGCCTCTGGATACAAATGCTGGGTATCATCGAAGTCCTCATGCTGGGTGTTAGCAGAACATTCCCACACTCTGTGGAACAGGGATTCTTCTTTCTCAAGGCACCGAGGACACAAGCTGGAGACAACGTAGCCTGCGTCCTTTAGCCTCTGGCGAGGCCATTGGCCCCCGCTCACCACCACGAGGTTGAGCGCCACAACGTCCTCACCGTTGACGTCGGAGAGCCGATCGAATTCGCGATGAATGCGCATCATGTCCGCACCTCTGGCCAAGTCTTCGCCCGCTTCGTGATGTCCAGCGGCAGTCCACACCAGAGAATTCACAGTAGCTTCCACATCATCCAGCAGGTCCGTGAAGTCGGGGCTGAAATCAGAGAAGGCCTCGTCAGCACAAGACGGGATGGCCCAGACATGAGACTCAGACTCCCATCGCATAGGACTGTGCGGAATCCAACCAATGTCCACGATCGTAGCAACAGTAGCACCAGTAGGGCCCTTGACTACCCTCCACCGTCGAGCCCCTGCCAATCGCAACCGAGAAAAAATCTTGCCCCAACTTAGAGCAATTCGAGCATGGAGATCAGGATGTTCTCGCCGCATCTTCAGCCAAGCCGCCAAGTGTTCACGCCGAAGGACCTTAGCAGGATCACGCTTACCAAGAGCAGCAGCGATGGAAAACGTGAGACAACGACCAGGGCCAGAACCAACCGCACTCTGAGCCGCCTGCCGCCTTAACTGCACTCATAGATGCCGAGGGACTCCATACGCTTGATGAGCATAAATCCCTTGCGGCTTCGCCCCTGTAGACCACAGCGCACTGGTGACCTTACGGGGCTTGGCGTGCTTACGCATTCGACGAATAGCCATGGCCCGAGACTTGGCTCTCTTGACACGATCCAAAGCTTTGTGTCGGGAACGGTATCTGCCAGCAGAAGCATCCATCCCAAGATCCACCGCATGCCGAACTGCAGTGACTGGAACTCCCGCACGTCGAAGCCCATTGTTAACCTTGAGAGACAAGGACTCTGACGAGGAGATCACCACAGTCTTGGGACTAACCGTTAGTCCAGTTGAAACAAGATCCTTACAAAACGAACTCCCCGATTCCACAAGAAGGTCGCCAACAACTCTCTCTGGACCTTCTTCTACCCTCAACACAGTGTCGTCCACGAAGGTGCGCAACATGATTCGGCCTTCGAAGCGCTGCTGGGCACGCTGAAGAATTGGCCCTAAGACGGCCTTCGCAAGCCGACCACCATTCAAGGAACCAGCCACAACACTGCGCTGCGGCAAGATCTGCTTGCTAATCGAATTCTGATCCTTCAAGTGGCGGGGGGCCATGAACATCTGAACTTCAAGAGCCAGAACTTGAGGAGGAAACCCTTGCTGCAAGGCTGAGACACATAGTAACGAGAAAGACAAGCTGTCGTAGAATTTTCCAGATCCAAAAGCAGCGTAGACGAGGCAATTCCCATCTCGCGGCAACTTTCGTCCATGCAAGAACGGATAAGCGCTGCCTGAAGCGCCGACGATCCACGAACAGCCGTGTCCCACTGCTCCTCGAGGGCTTCGCTCCAATCTAACGTGTGCTGGCTGCGCAATCGGGCCCACAGCCGAACTAGATGGGGCAGCAATCCCAGAATGCGATCACCTCCTCTAGGTTTCGGCAGAATTGAAGCAATGACCATGAATATTTGCTGTGGCCACAAGCATCTAGATTCAACAGCATGAAGTAATCCAATCAACTCAGCTTTGGCTGGCTCAGGAAGTCGCTGCAGCTAGATGGGACCCAGGGAATCCACTCCTTTGGCTTTCTTGGCGTTGGAGCGCGACAGGACTGCTTCCAAAGCCTCAGGAGTGATGTCCTCCAGCGGAGCTGCCCGAGCCCTACTTCTCAGGTACGTGAAACCTGCCCGAACTTTGTCAAGATC